CACGTTCTCATCGCGAAACATATATGCCTCAATTCTGTAGTAGCAAGATCGAGTTACAACACAATGAATATTAATTCCGAGAATACACTCAGTGGACTTACAGGTAATGGACCTAGTGAATCGATACGATTCACGTTATTTATAAATAACAAACGCAGAGCGATTATGACACAATTCTCGCTGTGCACAATTAAATCGGTAATACGCAAATGGCCGGAATGACCTTATGAGAAGGAAAGAATTAAAGCCTCAAAGTGTAGAAATTGCATTGTCCATATAAAAAAACGGTACCTGCAAATATTTCAAAATTAACATTTTCAGGAATTAATCAAAATTTTGTGACAGCCATTTTTTTATATGCACAGTCCAATGTATGCACTTTGAAGCTTTACTTATGCCCTTCTCACGAGGTCATTCGGGCCGTATGTCGCGGTTTCATTGCACCGCTGACAGATATCGGCTTGTGAGCAATAGTTTCATCTGTTCGTTTAAAATCTCGATATTAAGTTTTAAATCCTAATAGTTGCATATAAAACTACTTAACGTTACTAATTGAGTCTTTTTTACTCTTACCGAATTCTGGTCGTACGAAAATATCCCGTTAGAAAGCGAAATCGATTTAATAATTTTCAGTTGTATTTTATATAGAATTAGTGAATTGTGTACGCACAGATAAATGTTGATTCTATTTATCCACGTAAATGCATTTTCAAAAAAAAAACAGAGAAGAGAAAATTCTATTTCTTTCTTAGAGAACTTTACAAAATATACTCCATCGGTTGGTCGCTGTTCCTGTACCCCACTATTCCTCTATAACGGAACGTTTCATTTTAGAATAGTTTTTATATATAAATCTGAATAGTTTTTATGTATAAATCGCTGAAGAGATCATTCGCATTCTCGGAATTTACCTAAGTCGCGCATTCGACACCATCAACCGCGAAAAACTCCTAAAAGCACTCAGAGAAATTGTCGACGAGGACAGTTGGAGGTTGACGCACGTTCTACTAAGCGACACATCTCTGCAAGCAAAAATAAAAAACGCTATCTCGAAAGCATTCAAATGGAGCATCGGTGCTTCGCAAGGTGGTTCTCTCAGTCTAGTTCTGTTCACAATCTATCTAGAACTCGCACTGAGAGAGATTCGAGAAGCATGCCGAAGACCAGCATCGGACATTCCACTGTCACCCGAGATCGAAAACGCAGATGATACCGGCTTTATCAGCGGCACTATTACACACATCGACAATATCACAGCCACCGCCCCCAGAATACTTGAACGTTGGGATCTCAAAATGAACACCAACAAGACCGAACACACAGTCTTAAAACGAGACCGACAAAAAACAAGAAGACTGGCGAAAAGTCAAGAAACTCGGCACACTACTTGACGACACCGAAGAACTACAGAGGCGGAAACAGCTGGCCACCATGTCGATGAAAAACATGTGGCGTATCTGGAGCAGAAAAAACAATAAGATCGGTCTAAAAAAGCGGATCCTGCTCTACAACACCTATATAACGCCAATACTAACGTACAACTCGTGCACCTGGGCGTTGACCAAAGCCAAAACGACCGAATTGGACGCATTCCACCGCAGACAACTCCGATCAGTCATCGGCGTCTACTATTCAAACATCATATCCAACAAAAACCTATACAAGGTTTGTAACACCAGCGAAACAATACACCAGCCAAAAGCACCATGCTCCAATATTTCCGTGGGAAGCAATCCCGGTTCAGAGGTGCTCCACGCACCACGCTCCTGGTGATCATCAGTATAGAACTTTTCACAAACGCAGTGTCGACACATCTAACAGAACTTGTATTACAGCTCAAACTACCAGCCGAGCTCAAAACAATCAACGATCTGAGAGCGCTTGAACAAGCCGCAATGCAGCGAACAAAGTGGAAACAACTTGTGACAAATATGCATGTTCTCGACCAGCAATTTATTGTCTGATAGAGGACGAAACGCAATATGATAATGATGATGATGATATAAATCTGTATATGAATGAGCTGCTTCATTTTCTTTTCTAATTGATTCAATTTCTTCAAAGACAAGTAAAGGCTATGTTTTAAAACATTATCCTTTTACCAAGCTATCAACTACACATATATAGCAAAATAAGAACGTTTCTTTTACAGTTTATTCTACTCTCATACTATGCAGACTGTCTTGGAGGAGAGATGCTTTCTTAATCGAAGTAAAGTAAGTTACATACCATCATGTTTTTTCTATTATAAATAAATTATATATTCTTGGCTAATGCCATGTAAACGTTATTTATTTAGTTTTTTTTTTATTCACATATTCTTGAGATTATAAAGTAAAAAACGAAGAACGATTATGATAGGAAATAGTTGTACAAAACTAACAGAATATTGTCTTCAGTATGATAAGTATTACTAATATTCAGGAGACAGCGTTGTTGGTCCCGATGCTCATTATTGATCTGGTACAGCATTTTTTCCACCAGGAAGTATTGTTCTAAGAATGTATCATGATGATATTTACTTAACGTCATTTGTGGCTACGCTAAATAATCTATACTTGATAGAAGAAGTTCAGTTGTTTTTTGTTTTCATTATACGGTACGACATCCGTATTCATTGTAACAATCAGAACTGGGCAGCTCCGACCGCTCCCGTCACCAGCTCCAAAAGATGTTCGTATTTTCTTGTTGTTTTCTTTCAGTTGAATTTTCTAGGCTTTCAAGTAAAGAAAAATACAAAACAATAATATAAATGAACGTATCATCAGCGCACACATTTATATTACTATCTGCCATAAGAGTGTCATTTTTACCTCGAGCGAACGAGCACACCATGATCAAATATAAATAGAAAGAGAAAAATTCGGAGCCGGCAACCAACCACTGGATCAGGCGCTGACCTCAACGTTTGTTGGGAGGTGTTAAGTAGTATTTTTTTGACTGTACATATTTGTGTGCTTCCACGTTACGCGTACATATGATCTAAAGAGATCATATGTTTTAGTCACATTTCTTCCTTATGTTTTACTGTCGTCATGTTCTTTTCTATTCTTCTGATGTCATGTTATGTTATGTTCTACCGACGTCATTAGTCCGGTCAGTAGTAAAGGACATATTCTTTCGTACGTCATGACCTAATGATGTCATGTTCTGACCAGTTCTTCTGACATCATTAGATCCTTTTCTAATCTTTTCTCGGATGTTCGGAGATATGTATATATAGCTGTATTTTTTTGTGTATGAGAGAAGATAGTAATTTGTTACTAAATAAAGTGAACAAGATAGAAAATCAATCAAGATAGTTTTACTACCTAACATTGGTGCACTAGCCGACCTTTGGTACAAACAATATCATTATCAAAGAAGAACCCAGTAGTGTTATCATTATGATGTATGAAAATTGCGAATGGAGAACCCAAAGAGTCGAACGACATCAACCAAATTCGGTCCCGAAGGTCATCGATCACGGCATCGTCCATCGAATAATAGTATTTTCAACGTCGGTGAATTGGTATTAGTACGATGCGAAGCTAGTAACGAACGTCTTCCAGCATCGATCGATATTGACATACAACATCAGCGCTGTTTAGTCGTAATTTATGATGAATATATGAACATTATCGAACAAGTGAAAGTTCGTTTGGAAAATACTGAACATCTCAAGCAAAAACATTTTACTCAACAACGGTATCATGATTTCGGACCAGTGGTACCAAATTCAATTATTACAACACCAAGTCGTATGACATCATCATGATCACCATCAACAACTACGCCAGTACCACCGTCAACAACACCAGAATTAGAATCCTTCCAAAACTTACTACCGTTCACTAGCGAGATTGGCGAGAATATACTCGACTGGCTTATGGCTTTCAATCAAGCCTGCACAACAGCTGGCTTCGACGAAGATCAACGACGATTATAGCTTCCGTTAAAACTTGTTGGTGGAACAAAATCATGGTACCATTTGGAGAAGTCAACATTGATAAATTGTAATCCGTTTGGAAAAAATCAAAACTTTTCTTAAGCATTTTTATTTAAAACCAATAGCATACTCGGGATCAGCGCGTGAAACTGCGTTAGATGATGTTTAATACAAAACATTTTCTCGAAATAATGTGAACAGGGGTACTCCTCATTCATTCGTTTTTAAAGTATAATTTTCAAAATTTTATCAGCTTATTTTTCACATTAAGGCCTAATTAATTTATTATGATGAAAATTAAAAGCACATAGTATCTTCCTCCGCCTGGTATCTGGTAGGCTGAATATACACAATACAGAAACCAATGTCACTCAACACGATGCACTGAGATCTGAAAAAGGAATTCATTACCCTATATAAATGTTAGGAGATCAAGTAGTTGAAATTACGCTATCATTCCAAAATGGTACATTTCGCAGTGATTGAAAAAGGTAATCCAGTATAAAACTACAATTGTTATTAATATACGAAAATTGATAATAAACTAAAGCAATTACTTATTACACTCCTGAATAAAAGTTTATCTTAACTCGTTTAAACGGGTTAGAATAAATTTTAACTCGTTAAAAGTCGTTCAACGATAACTCACTAAATGCGTAAGCGTTTAAGTGCATTAGAACAGGAATTTTCCAGTCACCCTTTTGTTTTGTATGACCAACTCATATATAAATAGCATGTCTTTCCCTACGCGATATACGATACATTCACTTACGAGGAAATATTCGCCGGTGCCCCGCTCCGATGTCATTCGTTCACACATCATTCGGTAGGGAGTCTCGAGTAGGTAAAAAGCCTAAAAGGGTATCGGCCGATGACTCTTTAAGACCCGGTTTTCTGGAAAACCAGTTTTTCAGAAACCCTAACAGAATAACCAAAACCTTTGTTAATGAGGCATGATTG